TATTGATAATGACAAATTATTAAACTGTCGTAGCCAAAAAGAGGCCAAGTAGAGCATCTTATTCAAATATTAAAAAGAATTAAAATCGTGTACATTACACCCATACACCGCAACGCTCGAGTTTCAATTTACGGTAACTAGCTGTACTGAACTTTCTGTGTAAATTGAGGGCGCAGTTGAAAATGATAGTGCTCATGGGAAATTTGATTGGCTGAATCTATGACAGCCATCTTGGATGGTACACACACACAGCTCTGCGTATTTCGAACATCGAATACATTGCTGTTAGCGCTCTAGTATTCTTATTATATCTCTATGGGTAGAACGGAGAGCAGTTTTACATCTTCCGTGTGGCGGCGCTATATATCAATAATAAAGGTGCAGCTCACGTTTGTTTGTTTCCTGTAGTTTCTCTACTTAGTCAAATGGTCAAATTTACCCCGATCATGGGAGGGCGGATGTTCCATCAATTTGAATGCAAATACGCAGAAGAACTCATTCTTCTAATATTTAAGTTCTTTGCTCAAACCAGAATTACTCTTACACCAAAGATGATTACAATTACACTTAGGGTACAAGAATAGAGATGATAAGAAAGTGTCTGCTGCCACTGCAATCAGTGACCTGTTTTGTTTTTTTTTTAGATTGTTGAATGTTGTTCATTATGAATGTACAGTATGTTGTTTGTATATATACAACGATCGCAATGGTGTTGACTCTTCTGCAATAGTCGGTCTCTTCTGACTTTTAGTTTCTGTGTAGCCTAGGATAGCTTTGTTTTTTCTTGTTTTTCCTTGTTTTGCGCATAGAGACCATGTACTTTGCGCTATATAAGTCTCCAACCATTACCATTACCATTGTATCAGTTTTTTCTTTTTTGTATTAATATATTTTTATTATTTGTTTTGTATTAATATTATTTTTATTAAATAATAATATATCACAATACTTACGAATACATGGCTTAACATGCTGGAAACAGGCTTTGGTTAAATCACCCAGCAAAGCAAATGAACTCTGTCTAACTTCTGGCATAGTATCCTATTGATATAAATAATTATTGTTCGATAAATTTGTAATTATATTATTATCTATAAATTTAAACTAAATTACTCTTTGTAAAGAATATTATAAGTGTTGACCACGACATTTAACATCAAGGGTGCACTCCTTCCTCCCTTTGCATCCTTGTTTATAATAATAATTATTAAGTTTTTTTTAATTTTTAATGGTTTTGTAATGTGAAGGTGCTATAAAAATACTAAACAATTAACCATTATTAAATATTATAGGAATACCATCAATATCATTATCTATTATCTATATTTTACGCTTATTTCAAAGCCTACAATCACAATAGGAAAACCAAGGGCCTCCCGAGTGCCTCAAAAAACATTTGGGATTCAAAACCTACCGGTCCAAAAAACTGTATAAACACAGATCATTAAAGTCTCCATCTCACAAAGTGAATGTTATTCCATACCGTAGAACCTTGAATTGAAGCCCTGGGCCTTTTTTTTTTTCAAACTTTGGATGAACTTCTTTTTGAGGCCACTTTTGCGAAGCAAAGTCTTTTTAAAATGAATGCTGTCAATTTTCGGAATCAAAGTCTTTTTAAAATGAATGCTGTCAATTTTCGGAATTAATACTATAAAACAATAAATAGGGCCACTGTAACATCAATCTGTATCATGGAGTGTATTAACCGCCATTAAATCACCTAAACTACTGTATAAACCAAGTGTGTTTTTAATTTATTTTGCTTTCTTTAAATTCATGTACAGTTTATGTACTGTACTATCTTGAAAAAACAAAGCCTATGCTATCTTGGAAAGGAGATGGGCTTCTTATCGAAGCTAATTTTGCAAACTGAAGAGGGGGTTTCTAGTTTGAGAAATTTGAAAGTTTTATATTATCTTTTTATCGAGTATCCCAATTATTATTTTAATATTATTTTTATTGAAAAAATGTTTTGTATTTTTATATGAAATTTTTATTTTTTTTTTGTTACTGTTTTGATATTTTTATTGTGTCTGTAAATCTGGCGACCCACTCGATAGAGATCTTGAATCTCTTTCTTGGTAAGCCAGCCTCCTTTTTGTCTGTCTTTTTGGTGTGTTCTTTTTGTAATCTGTTGAGGTGAATAAATGAAATGAAATGAAATTGAGATGGGCTTCTTCTCGAGATTAAGCCCATTGGGCTTCAATTTCGAGTATTTCAGATTTAATGGAGAGGAAAATAATTACTTTTACCGAAGTTTATCACTATATAGTGCATATTATTTGCTCAATAATCCATAAATAATTGAGATTATGAAAATATAAATCTAAAAACAATTGTTCAACATTGTATGTTTTATACGTGCTGTTATCTGCATTTTAATTAACATTTAGTGAATAAATGATAGGAATAATTTGTCAATAATTACAAATAGTAAATTAGGCCTAGGCCTATTACCAGAGTGTGTGTTTTCACAGTCACAGTAAATTGCTTGCTGATGAAAATCAAAATTTAAACTAATCCTATTTAGCAGACTTCTCAAGTTAGTAAAATGCATTTCCGTAACCATGTCTTCTAGTTTCCGTAGTAATCAAAACATTTCCGTAGCATACTGTATGATGATTTATGGGGCATTTTTCTTCGGGTTTTACAATAATTTATCAGTATTCTGACAGGTCTGAAGGTCTATGGTCAGGGACTTTGTAGCCAATGGTCCTGACGAAAAAAAAAAAATTTTCCTTGACTTTCCACAATGTGTAAACCTATATATTTCTGGGTCTAGACTAAAGATAACTTTCCATGTGTCTTTGCTTATTTCCGTAAACGTCCATATAGGCAAAATTTCGGTACCAACTACGGACGTTCTGTAGAACTTGAGAAGTGTGATTTAGGCCAAATCCTTAGGTCTACGGACAATTCCTCACATTACCATTACAGTCCAGGCCTGGCTAGGCTATGTCTGCTTAGCTAGGCCATTTAGGCTTAGAACATCACTTTCTATGTCAGTTTCTAAGTCTCCTTATTATCCAGCACAGCTGTAACAACTTCAGAAAAATACAGTTTCTCAGCATTTCAAAACATCATATTTTTAGCATGCAAAAACTTCCAATAAAACAAGCCTCAGCAAGTTTCAGATCAAAATGTGCAGATATTCCTATACAGTAAACACTATTTGGATTAGAGTTAATACAGCCGCTCTGTGGTTGGTTTTTAAAAGACCTTCTCCAATTCGCAATAATGCGAAGGAAATGTTAAAGAGCCTATTCGCATTTATGCGAAATTGCCAGTGTATGGTTTTAAAAATCAACGCTGTGAAAACGAGATGCTTACTCATTAAAATGACAAATCAGTAAATGTTTTCCTGGTTAATGATAAAGTGAAATTATACGGCTTCCAATTGTTTTAATAAATATATCATATCCCAATCTCCCCCCCCCATCTTTTTATAAAAGTTCTGCCGGCCCTATACAACTGCTGTGGAATTTCAAACAAACAGGACAAAGATGAAGATTTTGGGTCACGTTACTTGGTTTTACGATAATCTATCAGTAATCTATGAAAGTCTTGTGTTGTCTATAGAGGAAATATACCTAAAGGTCCTGAAAATCATTGTCCTGGACGTTAGACATATTTACGTGGGGGTCTAGGCCCAGTGATAAATTTCCATAGAATTCTATTTATTTCCGTCTGCAATTTAGGCCAATCTTCTTTTAGTGGTCATGAATAATTGTTCTATTTTATCGCAACTAATAGTGATGTTTAACATACTAGAGGGTAAGCGAGCGAACCAAATGGTCCACGAATGCAAAAAGTTTGGAAACCACTGTGTTAGGAGGTATCACAAAGGCTGTTGTTCATTCTGTAATGAGACACTTCAATGTAAATGTGCAGAAATTCCTATACAGTAAACACTATTTGGATTAGAGTTAACACAGCTGCTCTGTGGTTGGTTTTTAAAAGACCTTCTCCAATTCGCAATAATGCGAAGGTAATGTTAAAGAGCCTATTCGCATTTATGCGAAATTGCCAGTGTATGGTTTTAAAAAACAACGCTGTGAAAACGAGATGCTTACTCATTAAAATGACAAATCAGTAAATGTTTTCCTGGTTAATGATAAAGTGAAATTATACGGCTTCCAATTGTTTTAATAAATATATCATATCCCAATCTCCCCCCCCCATCTTTTTATAAAAGTTCTGCCGGCCCTATACAACTGCTGTGGAATTTCAAACAAACAGGACAAAGATGAAGATTTTGGGTCACATTACTTGGTTTTATGATAATCTATCAGTAATCTATGAAAGTCTTGTGTTGTCTATAGAGGAAATATACCTAAAGGTCCTGAAAATCATTGTCCTGGACATTAGACATATTTACGTGGGGGTCTAGGCCCAGTGATAAATTTCCATAGAATTCTATTTATTTCCGTCTGCAATTAGGCCAATCTTCTTTTAGTGGTCATGAATAATTGTTCTATTTTATCGCAACTAATAGTGATGATTAACATACTAGAGGGTAAGCGAGCGAAGCAAAGGGTCCACGAAAGCAAAAAGGTTGGAAACCACTGTGTTAGGAGGTATCACAAAGGCTGTTGTTCATTCTGTAATGAGACACTTCAATCTATCTGCTTCCTCATTCTGTAAAGTTTTTAAAATTTAGGTTCTGCTATCCTTCTACTGTGCTTATAAGTACACCTTTTATAGTTACTGTTTTTGGTAGCACTTTTTCAATTACGAATAATTATCCTTGATGTTAGCTTTTTACATGTAAAATTAACCTAAAAATATAAAAAGTCACTCACCTGCATACACTGATAAAGCAATGTCATTATGTTGCTACGTGCTACTAAACCTTCAATGTAGCTCTCCAAACCCTCTGCTAAGCCACTTAGCAAGTCCAATGCAACTATCATGAAGTCCTTATCTGGAGGCTCAACTTGGTCAGGATTTTGGTTAGAAGCCTTAATTATAAAGAAATATATGAACACAATAGTAAGCATTTAGTAATAAGAGTAAAAAGAACTACAGAACTGTCAAGATTAATTTCACTAATTACCTTCACCAAGGAGTATGCAACTGTTGGCTGTCTGACTGTCAGCAAGATTGCGCAGAAATCATCATAGATCGTAAAATTTTATTTTTACTCATAATTTTAAAATTTCAACATAAAATGTAATACTTAAATTTTAATTATGATATTTTATAAAGTTCTGATTTATGTTAAATCATAACTAGAATTTAATTAGGTATGCATTATTAAACATTCTCATTAAAAATCTTTGGTAAATGGATGTGGCATACAGCCCTGTTTTGGGGTGGCAACCCACTATCAGATCCCCTATTCTTTGGTGACCCAAATCCTACCCTTCCTTTGGGACATCCCTATAAGGGAACACTTTTCTGTGAAATGATGGGAAATATCAATAAACTATTGGCCGAATAAGGGATAATCAAACAGTTTTAGGCTAAACAGTATTTTCCAATCATTTCATATGAAAGTGCAGATTTAAATTGTGGTCAATTTAAATTTTTATTGTCGCTTTTAGGCTCCTAATGATACAATCAAATTCTCTTGTACTAGAATAGTGATACTTTCTAAAGCAGTTTTCAACATTTTAACCTAAAATAGCTACTTTTTAACAATCTTATAAAATATGTTTGTACCTGTATCTGTGCAAGGGTTGATTCTGTTAATGATACACATCTCTGATATACTGGTTCACTGTATGGCAAGAATCCAGATTGCAGAGCTGTAGCAACAGATGATAAGCATTCTAGCAATGGAAATAAATCCTTGTCTTCATCTCGTAATGTGTTCCATTTTTCAATCAAAGGCGGCATCAGCATATTAATGTATTCCTACATATATTAATTGGAGAAAACCACTGCTCTGGTAATTGTTCAAGGTAACATATTTTCTGCTCTGCAGTAATTTAATCCTGAAGTATAGTATACCCTTATAGAATACTACCTAATTTAATATGTAAACGTTAAGTATAGGCTCTGCTTAGCATATGTCAAGTTGTTCTGTTTCAATACAATAGAATAATGTTAGCAAAAACAATAGCAGCTCAACAATTACAATTTTTTATTTAGCAAAGTAAATGTACAATCTTGCCAGGAGCAAAAAACCCGGTTACGACGAACCGCCCAAAAACTGGAGGTCTGCATTTAAAAATGAAAAATTGATATTTGTAGATATATTTACAATGTTCTCCGGAGTATTGGAGAAGGGTCCACTTTCCAATGAATTAAGTCACAAATTAAATCATGCTACGGGCCTGAAAATAGGCACTAGCCTAAACAGGAAACACTTGCTCTTACTAAAATGCTTCAGGTGATCAGATGCTTCAAGTAGTAACGACTGAACAGGTAGACTTAAGCTGTGCACTCACTACCCCTGACAGTCGCTGGCCAATGAGATTCTATGGAGAACGTAAAGTAACCACGCGCGCAAACGGATTGTTTTTAATAACGATCCGTTCAGACTGCCGCCAACAATCAGATGGTGTGCGTTGTTTAACGCTCGCAGAGAGTGGAGTTGAATTTGTTGTACGATGCAGTGAGTACCAGGCTTAAGCTAACTACTGAGCCCAGCAAAAACAGTAGACACAACATCAATCCAAAAAATGAAAACAATATTGTTCAAGTTAAAGCTTATGTAGTCGGTTGTCTGTTCATCTTGCAAAGACTAGCAAGTGAGTATGCAATGTTTCAGGTGAAAAGTGACAAGCATGGATCCAGATCTTTATTTTCTGTTTTGATAATTATTAAATCTCCTCTAATTATTTATCTTGTTTAGTTCTTATGTTACTATATCATCTGTGCCTCCGGTCGGCAACCCATGGGTCACAACCCAAGTTTGGGTTGTGAATTGATTTTTGAGGGTCATTAAATTACACTTTAAAAATCAGAAGATTCCTGTTAAAAGAATGGAAACAAAACATTTTTTTAAAATAAAATATTTTGAAAAGTGACAAAAGTGTTAGCAAGCAATGTCAGAATTAGCTCAGTCAGTCCAAAACGATGGAAATCAACAAATCATGAAAATAAACTTGAAACGCTGTTTTTAGGTAATAACTTTGTTTAATAAGTATGTTTATCAAATACCATACTGTTTTTACAAGACACTACAGTACTTTGATATATTACATTGGCTGTATATTTTGTATCTTGGACGACACCGCAATGGTAACTGGAGGTCATGGATCGTGGGAAGCTATGGAAAAAAATTCTGGGTCCTAAAGGAATAAAAGGTTGCCGACCATAGATTTATGCTACCCGGGAAAAAAAGTAATTAATAAAAACAGTAAACACAGTAGTAAATATATAATTCATAAACAATATGAAGGTCCTTCAATTTTGTTCATGCACAAAATTGACAGCCTACAAAAGTAAGTTTCTTATAGTTTATGTTAAAAATCAAATACCTCTTTGTTCAAATGATGTCCTACTGAATCAGCCAGGGTGCCAATTGCATCGTATAATATAAGAAGATTCTTATGTTGATATTTACTAAATGCAAATACAAGAGTTTGAAGAATAATTGCCAGATACGGCACAAGTTCAGTGCAAGCCTCTTCCTCCAGTGTTGCAAATGCACTACATGCAGCTTCCTGTACCCTCTTGTTAGAATCAAGAATTCGTTGTAAAAGCTGAAAAATTGCCAGGTTTATCTTTAGATATTCATAAACAAATTATTATACAGTGATCTTATATAATAATAAAAATAAATCATTATATAATAATCTCATAATAAAAATAATATTAATATGTATCGTAATGAAGTGTATCTATTTACTATAATTTATGAATATTGATAATATAATATTGAATATTCTTTTAAAAACTGTACTGTCAGATAGGATAGCATAGGATAAGCCACTAAGACTGAAGACTTGATTCCAGTGGGGGAGCCTTCTGGTGGTTAAGTGGGCACAACACTAGAAAATCCCAACTTTTTTTCTGAAGAGAGTACTACATTACTTAAAACTAATTAAATCTCCATCATCTCGCCTGCTTGTTTAACACAGAGACATTCAACTATTGTGATGCCAGGAGTTCTCTTGTGAAACTAAGCCAGTGAAAATGTGTTCCACCTTTATTTGATTCCCTTCAGCCAGAACAACAACAAAATCAATAAAGAAAGAGGAGGGCTAAGGAGTGGCAAAAGCGGTACAAGAACTACTATCACCGGATATGTGTGCCCCTCCGACTCCGAATTAAATATTATTAACTGATATAAATATAAATTTTTTATCAAAAATAGCAATTGCTATATGTATCCTCCTGTCTTTTTTGATGCAAGATGAATCTGGTAGCGCGATGCTGAATCAATTCAATTTTGTTTATGTTCAACTTGTTTAGACCAAGATAGGTTGTGATAAATTGTGACACCAAGCAAATTAAGATGTTCGACATTTGTCAGAATCTGTCCATTCATTGTATATACTGGAACTGCAGGTGAGCGCTGACGAGATATTGACATTACACAACACTTAGCAGAATTCAATGACAACAAATTTGATGATGATCAACTTTCATGACTATCAATGTTCTGTTGTAGGGTTACAATGTCGGGGGGCGATCGAATGGTCATTGAAAAGAATGTGTCATTTGCGTATTGGTAAGGTTTATTATTTACATGCAGTTGAAGGTCGTTTACATAGACAGTAAACAACAACGGTCCAAGACATGATCCTTGTGGTATACCAGATAGTACAGCTGTCCAAGGCAAATATTTACCCTGGAATACCACTCACTGCACCTTGATTTGAACTGAACTAAAATAATACGTTTTCAAAATACTGCCCTATAATCATTTCACAGAGTGCTATTACACACAAATGTAATGAATAAGATTAATTGAAAAGATGCTATTTTTTTTTTTTGGCGATCCTTAAACCTAGTCAAGGATGTTGCATCCATGATAAATAATGGGAGCTGGTTCCATAATGATAAAGGTGCACCTGGCAGAAAAAATTGATAGCCATATTTTGTTTTAGATGTTAAGGATGTATTAAAGGAGCATGCAAGAATAGGATCTAAGTAAACAGCCAAACTGATATTAAAGAACTACAAGATTAAATATGGTGCTTTGAAGGAACTTTTAGGTTAAAAAAGGATTTTAGAATTTGTTTTTCTATAGGTAACCAATGAAATACTGTCAAACCAAAATCAGCTCAATAGGTGCTATACTCACCGAGACATGGTCAGCTAAACATGCAAGGTATCGCTAATTAGCTCACACTTCGTTAGCATGTATCTCACTAATTAAAAAACCTAGATCAAAAAATTTTCATTTCTGATCGTTTATCAGGGTCCCAACCACATACTAAAATTTGAACAAAAGATTGTTGTTTTTTTTTTTAGGTTGATTTGAAATGGAATTACCTAGAAGGGATAAGCCATTGGAAACCCAACTGCAAATTTCACTAATCAAATAAAAGACTACTCACAATCAGCCTAAATTGAATACTTACCACATTCATTAACGGTTTCAGATAGGTTTCATGAGGTTGGCTAACTATCCAGTGGGAATAGCGACTCAATGTCCAACATGTGATTGAGCGAACCAATGCCTTTTTCTCAGCAAGGCACTGAATGAGATATTTAGTCAGCTCAGGCAAGTGTGGTACCATAGCATTTGAACATCCTATAAAACAGACAGAATTTATTATTTGTAAATACAATTATGAATTACACAACATCTTACTCAAGCCATATATATATTTACAATGCATATTTTAGGTTTTTGGTTAGACCCTGCAAATATAAATATTGTCTTCACTGTTTGCATTTTACTGTATAATTATTATTTATTTTAAAATTTAGCAAACAATATTCTACATTAAAGTTCATTATACAACAAAGTGCAAAAATTCTCGCAATAGGCAACCATTTACTTTAACCCTGTCAGATTTGTTGGAGCATGATACCGACATCAATTTACTGTTGAAACCACTGCTTACTCATTCAACTGATTATCCTAACTGTTGTACTAATGCATGTACAATATGCAATTTTTAAAATCAAATTATATAAAATTGGAGAGGTTTTCCAATTTTATATAATTTGTGAACTGATTTTATAGCATATTCAGTGTACGTAATTGTATTTGTATCCTATTTTCTAAATTATGAATCTCATGTGCACGTTGCGTAGCTTTGTGATGACATAGCAAATGCATCGCTCTATCCAGGTTTAGCAACAGGCCAATGTAATCTACAGATTTAGATGATTCATAGATGGGTTTTATCCTTGTATTCATAAAAACTATTATCGAATTGCTTAAGTAGAAAAAAGAATGAGAAGTAATTGCATGCCGACCTGGATTAAAAAGGCATTGAAATTTGGAAAGTGAAGAAAGAACGAGAAACATAAGCCTACATGGTAAATATAGTTTAGCAATTACAGCTTAGCCATTGCAAGTCAAATCCTACCGCAAAAGGAAACATCTAGGCCTAGTTAACAAAACAAGCAAACTTAAGTTCACAGGATATTATTATCTAAGCAACAAGCATCGTGTTTAATTTGAAGGGGAATGATAAACTATCCTCTAGGATCTACCTCTTGTCAACATTGCTGTCACACCACTATATATATTTACAACATAACACATGGTTTCCCCAGAGTAAAATTGTGTAGTGTCAAGTGAGACGAATCACAAATCTATGTGCTCCGTCTTTCGCTCGCCTTTCTGAGTAAATTTAGGCCTAGGAGTGTCCATGGTACGAGAGCTCACGCTAATGCCACATTACATATGCAAGCTGGTCTGCTGATTTAACGCTAGCTGCACCTCTAATAATGAAAGGTATATTTTAGCCCGGATTTTGAAAAAAAAAAAACAGAATATTTATAAGGTCCTTCATACAAAGATACATGTCGCGAGTGAGCCACAACAGGGAAGTGTTCACAACATAACACATGGTTTCTGCAGAGTAAAAGTGTGTAGTGTCATGCGAGACAAATCACTAATTTAATTTTCATGATGTTTGCAATAAGACGACAATCGCGAAAATTAAAGGCATGCAAAAATGGCAAAATTTTGAATGATTTGTCTTCAAAAGCAAAGCTATATTTATCTTGGCTAGCTGGGCCATTACATCCCACTTCACTTCACACAGCCAGACAGAGTGCCACTAGAGTAGTGGTGGTAGCTAAGCCCTGGCATACCTTCAATCAATGGAATAAAAATCACAGCAATACGTTTATTTCTTCTATAATACGGATATTTCCCATAAGTTGGTGAACATTTTAGTCAACTTTGTTAGGCTTACATTTGCTGCAAGATTTCTAACATTTCAATTTAAAAAAAAACCTTGTTCAAGCCTGCCCTGTAATAGCTGCAGTATTCCTGCCTGTTTATCTGGCCTAAAATTTGGAAAACCCCACCAAAATCAGGAGTTCTAGCAAAAATATAGACCAGAGAGCATAATTGTAGGTTTCTGCATAATTTTAAAAGATGACTTAAAATTGTAAAATCGCAAAATAAAGGGCCGTAAAAATAAAGGGCTTTACAGTATCATATATATAACTTACGAAAACTATGTAGAATTATAGAGCAATAACATTAAAAATCAATGAGTATCAACAATTTTTATTATATATTAGATAATTAAAATTAAATAAAAAGACTATTTCAAAATTCTGCCTTATAGCTGCTAATGCCAGTGGTTGTACTCTACCTTCAGCAATTGCACCTAGTACAAGGATCCCAGATTCCTTGACTTCCCAATCCTGATGAGCTAAAGTCTCGTTAAGAATAGGCAAGAGAATTGGCATGAGTTCGTCACGAAAAACATTTGCTAGAACATCTAGAGCAGCTGCAGAACATTTTCCTACAAAAATGAAAAATTGTCAAAAAATTATTTTCAATACAAATTTAAAAAATTAAAAACATTCATTACTGTCTGTAACCTGCTAAAACTCAAAATACAACAACTGCCCATGACTGCCGAGGGGTGTCAAATTTACCCAAGGTCATTTCGTCCCAATTTCAAGAGCTGAACTTATAACTTAATAGCAAAAAAAATGATTCATAATATTAGGTTAAACTAAGACTGTCTAAACTGATGAGGTGATAATCTTTAAAAAAATTATTTTTCACATTAATGGGCCTACGTAATGAGATTTTATTGAACATCAATATAAAAAAACTGTAATTTTGAACAATTAAACCATGAAGTACTTACGTAAATTCCAGTCAGACAAAGCATCATCATCATCCATTCCATAATCGGAATCAGAATCATTCTATGGGTCAAAATAACCATGCTATTGCTAAATACATTTTTCTTTAAAATACAGTGTAAGTATGTTCAATATCAATAAGGAACTGCTTGAGTAAAAAAACCACTAGTGTTTATTGAAATTTGAAAATATTTGGTTTATAATGTGTATATAAATTAAATACATTCATATACCATATATTATATATATTTTACGGTGGAAATTTGACGTTTTCAGTCTGCTTGTAAATTGTAAAAACATTCATGCACAATTAAACTTTTTACGTTCAGTTTTAATTTAACAGTGACATCTCCTCCATCCAACAGTATTAGTAATTCAGAAAATTGTTATTAAGAGAGTTTTTGCATCTCAGTATTAGGCTGCAGGTCTATGCTGTACAGACATGCTAAAAACTGACACCACAGAAAGCCAAGATCCCTGGGAAACTTTTAGTCACAACAGAATAATACTGCAACAGCAGTCAAATGCAAAATATTAGTTAGAGAAGATTGTTTAAAAAAATATTCGCGGACCGCTTAACTCAAACCAACAGACCACACTCTGTCCTCCTGTGTAAATTTTCAGGAACACAGACTTTACTCTTCAGTTAGGCTTTTAAACAGTGAATTTATTTACTACTACTACACTCAAACGTGAAGGAAGCAGACAAATCTAGCAAAAAAATAATAAATTAATATACAAATATGCATGACTTACGAACACATTAACTGTGAACACTGTACTAAAAATACATATAATATTCCAAATTAACAATTGTGAAATTAGCAATGTAAGAAAAAGTATATCTAGCATAAATAAAAATACATATATCTCACTTAGATACATTACATAATCTGTATGTGGCATCAAAACACAAAATGTTAAAACTTAACCAACGTGAAAAGAGAAAGTACAAAATAGCTTACATCTTCATCATCATTATTGGTATGTTGTTGCGAGTGGGTTTTTGATTTGTGAAAGCGAGGTTTGATATCTTGTTCACTGTCAGGAATTGTTTCATCATCTTCAACATCGCCCTTCAACAGTATGATGTCAATCTCAGAATATTTCATACCTTTCACAAGGACAGGAATCAACCTATTTAATGAAAATTTATACAATAAAAAATATATTTAAAAAACAAAGGACTTAATTTTTTTAATAATTCCAATTAATTCACATATACAGTAACATCTCCCAATTAAGTACGTAAGATATTTCAATTGACATAAACAGGAAGTCAAAAAGACAAGATGCCTGTAAGAAAATTGATACCTCTACAATACCTATTTTCAGATTTTTTCAGGCATCTGGGCATTAAATGTGAGGTCTCACCACAAAATGAGTCTCATGGTAAATAGAAAATTTAGTTTATATTATATTAGGGTAGATCACATTAAAAGCTTTAATTTGGTCTTTGAATAGCTACCCTAGGATAAGTAGATCTCAAAGTTTAGGTGTATAAACACCACATTTTGAAAAAATCAGCCTTAAAGATAAACTAACTTGTACAAATAATAAGACTAGAATTACAGAATATGTGCAGAGAACACTGTTTAAGAAAATTCTCTTTAAAAGCACACAATCATAAAATATAAGTATCAAGTTATTTTATAACATTAACTTAAAAATTTATGACCTACAGTATGTTGGTGAACATCTCAATATGTTTGAAGCAACGATGCGTCTCATTTCATGGTGACACCTCACAATTCGCAAACATTTGTCCTTACTCAATTCAGTATATGATGATAAATAATTTTTACATTTTATTATTTATTAGTTACCTTTAGTCACAGAAACCAAGGGTATGTCAAACAGTGAACTAATCACTTTTTAAAGGGGTAATCCCTTCAACAGACGAACATACAAATAAGATGCTCTACATAGACTAATTCTCATTTAAGGCTGAGGAGGGTGGAGTTGCCATGCTAAACAATTTACCTTTGAAGATGAACTGCAAGAACTTCCTTGCAAACTGGCTGTTCTGCTAAAGTCAACCAGAACTCACAGGCTTCAAGTGCTACAGATTCATCATTGTCTTGAGTCCGCATCAACAAATACTATACAAAAAAACACCAGCAGACAAAGTGAGCTAAGTACTATAAAATTTCATCATTTGACAGCAATATTTACAGTAAACAGAATAAATTTAATTGTCATTTTAGTGTAACAAACTGTAAAACACAAAATAAACAATAGTTTCTGAAACATCTTTTTTACTGAATTCAAAGGCATAACATGTGTTTGTATGAAAAGGCTTTCTATACTTGGATTATATTTTAGACATTGAAATCATGCTATGTTACTATTTCAGCTTCAAAGAACACACTTATTACAACTAACTTTAAACCATTAAAGAAGTTTACTGATTTAGCATAATCCCATTTTTGCCTACCTGGACCATTTTATATTAATTTGAAAAATGGGCTATTGTGCAACTGAGTATACTAAATCTGTTCTCAAATTATATAAAATCTTTAAACTTCTTTAATAGATGTTTTCTTATAATTATATTTGACAGAATAATACCTCAATGATATCCTGCATGTGTGGTACGAGCATGTCAAGACGAACTTCAAGCAACATAACCAAAGCTCTACAAACATTCTTTCGAACTTCATTGTCATCGTCATTTGCCAACTCAAATAAATTCTGTAAAAAATATTAATGTATATATAGAGTAATATATCAGTAAGATATTTTTTATTAGATCATTATATTTGATAACTTTACACCATTATGTCATCCAAAAAAGCTGATTGTAATCAGCGCAGGAGCAGGCAGCCCCACCAGGAACACATTTATACTCCTAGGCAAAGAAGCAATGCAGACTCAGTGCCTTACTCAAGGACACAAGCAAAATCCACAGCTAGGGATTAAAAACCAGACCTCAAGGTTGGAAACCAAACCATTCTCACTGTCCAAAACCACTTACTATATATTTTAAAACCCAAGGACAAGGGACTGGTTAAAAAAAAGTACCTGAAAGGTATGTATGTGGCTACTGAATGTTGTTTATGTGTTTACAGTATTTTGTTGGTACAGTAAGACATCCATTTTGGTACCAAGGGGTATTCATAACTTAAAAAATCGTAAACTAGATTATGTGTCTATTTGTGTACGTTGCTGATGTTTGTGTGCTCCTTTACAAGGCAGACTATTGGTCGTAGACCGTCGATATGCCTGGCTGTTATGTTATTAGATAGTCAAAGGAGGAGTGATGCTGAAAAACCGCAAGTGGGAATCGAGTTCTTATCAGTTCGTTTGTATGTCTAAATAGGCATGATTGTTTTGATTTACTTATTGCAATGATTTAAGGATTTTTAATCATCATACCATGCATAATACATTGCGGTAAGTGAATTGACTGATATAATCACCAAGCCTTTCTAGCCTGAATAGTGCTAACCTATGTAGCACTGGTACTGGTGGGTGTTAATTTTCTTTGATAAAGTTGTTGTCTCCCTATTGAGTAGGTCCCAGGGCTGCGGAACGCGACAGCAGCAGGTAGTAGAATTGATGTGTAAAAGCAAAGCGTAGTTGTACAAGCAAAGTTTGTTTCCCAGGATACAGCCACTGTAACCATGGATCTGGTTATTCCTTGTTCATTCGCTTTTGTTGAAGCAAAAGCAGGTCAACAAGTCGATGTTAATTTGCATTCAGGATGTAATCAATTACGACTAAAAATGGGGAAGCCCCTACTAAGCGGGAAAACTTGTCATGTACATAATTTTTTGAGAATACAACAAGATATGTTAAATTAAAAAAGTTACATGTAAAATTGCTTCCATAATTAAGTTAGCCAATTTATGGAATAAATTTTTAGCAAATAAAATACATTGAGTTCATAATCTCGGCATTAGATTTATTTATTGCTAGTCCATGACTTACAAATTGCATGAGACACAACTGAACAGAGAAGAGTAGACATTAATGATGATTACATGATGATTATTGTCACATAGGCCATTTTTCCTTTCTTTAAAAATAATTTATTGTTTTTCTTGATTAAAATTATATTACTTGCATGATCCTCTTATCCTGGAATAAAGAATAGTAGTTAATATGTCACATAGGCTAGTATTCGTCCTTGACCTTTAAAAAAATGAGGTACGCACATATTTTTATATGCAATCAAAACTAAGTAATTGTTAAAGTTACACTACCCAAGTCAATAATTTTGGCTCTTTAAACAGCAAGAATCTCAGTGCTTCCTGGGGCTTTGCACCCCTTCCACTCCTATAGGGGCTTTCCCCTGGCCCAGGAGCCTACTGGGGGCTCTGACCCCAGCTGCTGGGAGGGGAAAACCCCATCCCAACCCACTTCTTGTACTTTGGTGCAAGTACAAGGAATTACTGAACAAACATTGTACTTATTAATCTGAAATCAAACCTAAACCAGATAATGGGCTCATACACAGTAAGATAGAATAACACCACAATAACAACCACTTTAAAAACATACATCAAGTTTTTGTTAAATATTTGACAAGTAACACATTCACATACCAAAAAATAATCAATTTGCACTATATATCAATGCAGAATTTTTAAGACCTGAATAGAATATGGAAAAATAAATATGATGATTTTACAGTCTTACTTTTATGAAGTCATCAATATGCAGCATTAGGACTTGTGTTTTGCTGATGATGAACTGGTTTACACAAGCTATAGCATGAGATCTGAAATACATGATTCCATTATTTTAAGAATAAAACACCAATTGTCTGTTTTTGCAGACTATAATCATAATGTCTAATTTAACTTTATTATAATAAAACACAATATATAAAATTAGCATTTACTTTTACATGAAAAAGTGTAGATAAAGATATCTATTCTTATACATACATACATATTTTTTAAATTCCCGAGTGCAAACACATGAAATATGGCCTAGCAGTATTTGGTAACAGGTAGCTAGAAGAAAAGAGGCCTAGGGTATAAAACATAATCACCTTATTTTTGGGCTTGAATGCTTAAAAAATCGTAGAAACTTTGGAATGAGAATATTAAGTGGTCTGTTCAGGCTATCACAGTCAAGAACCTCGGCAGAATCCTCACATATTTTCTGTAATGCACCAAATGCTCCCTATGATATGAAAGAAAGATTTAATTAAAATTGTAAAATTAATCACATTTAATAATATTCAAAAATATTCCAGCTGTTCTAAACTAAAATATAACATAGAATATTAACTGTAATAGAATGGTAGAAACAGGACTCAAATAAAGGAACAATGATAAAAAATATCGTATCTATCTGGTATAGCCTACAAAAAAAAAATCATCAGTTGTTTGAAGTTAAGTGTCTCTCCTCGGAATTCAACCCAAAACCTCTCACTGAAAAGGCCAGTGCATACCACTAAACCACAGGGCCGTAAGTATATTGCAGATGTACAACTCTACCAGGATCCTTCTTCAAACAACTGATATATATGCCCTCATAAAGCAGGCCCTAGATAAGGCCAAAAAAAAAAAAAAATGTTTGTTTGCCCTCCTCCACCCCCACCTCACTGAAAAAAATAGGGGAGAAAAAAAAAGGGTTTTTTTAGCTTTTATCTTTACAAATTAAAAAAAAAAACATGAGTGAATTTATCCTTATTTTTGGCCAGATGCCCTATTAATTAGTCTAAAGTGATATAAGTTATTGCCATTCTAGTATATCACAAAATAAATTTTAAAAAAAACCTTTTCCCACCCACCCCTATTTATCATTTTAAAAAAAAGAAGGGCAAACAATTTATTTTTGTTTTGCCTAAGGTACAGACAAAACATTCTTCTTTTCTACACGCAACTGCTCGTAACCTACAGTACAGTACTGGTAGGCAACATGTGGAATAGAAAAATGAAAATGTAGCATATTACTTGGTAGTTATGTCGATGTTTTTTAAGTGGATATGTCGCCTGGGATATAAACCTTTTAAGATCAATCGCGAGCCACACAGGATTTGGCCACCAAAATTCAAAATGGCTGCAAAAATTACAATTTTATTAGAGAAATGAAGCTTATTATTTAGTTTCAATTGACAATGTTTTTTTCAGTAGAATATCATCTGGGACATAAACCTTTCAAGTTCAATTGAGTGACACCCAGAATTTGGCCTCAAATCTAATATGGCCAACAGAATTAACTTAACCCAGAATTTGGCCTCAAATCTAATATGGCCAACAGAATTAACTTAAATTCTGCCTAATATTTTGTTTCTGTTAACGTTTTACTGTGAATTTGTTAATCCTAAATTAACTTCGAAATTAACATTAAGGCCACCTAAAAGTACATACATATATGTACACATACACATACGTTCTATTTTCTATTCATTGACTTTTGACACTGAAACGCATTTTTAGTTCATTATCATGATTTCACAGTACAAAAATGAATGATATTGAATGAATGAATAATAATAGGCTCACTTCACAAGTATTGTAGTCTTCTGAATCAAGAAGGTGGCAAAGAGCTGGCAAAAGTTCCTGCCAGTTCTGTAGTTCACCTTTGGTAGCAATAGTTGTGATAAGGATTCCAATTGTAGCCCGTATTAAAGGTGATGGGTCTCCAATATTCTGTAGGCATTCCCTCTTGATAAATTCAGTTGTTTCACTTGGAAAATTATGAAAGTGTGCCCTTACATTGTTTTTAAGAATAAGTCCACTTAATGACCTAGTAGGTTCATCTGAAAAATATAAAATATAATCTTATTAAAAAATAACAATTGAAAAATTCAGTTTAAACCAGACTTGCACCAGGGCTGTGATCTCTAGGTAAGGTAATGGCAACATAAATAAGATTTTGATTCTACCAAACAATGTATAAAACCTTTAAAATTACCAATACACATTATAGAGGATATTGGTATAATGAATTGGTTGTTACTTGAATCAGATAGTCTAATTTAGTTTGATCTATCAGCAGTATTAGTCAGATAACTGACAGCACATATACACATGCAGTAAAACGACTGCATAGGTTCCATTATACAATTTTTAGTTATTGAAGTAATACTGAATATATTATTAAGGGCCTATTTTAATTTACAATCAATTGCAAACAAAACAAAATTTTAATGAACAATTTTGAAACTTGCCCTCTGTCTTCAGCTTGGTGAGAACAAATATTAAATAGTTGTTAAAATCGGGAAACTGGTTCAATGATTCCAATTTCTAGGGTAAAATGCTAAGGAATACACTGTATAAACAAGTGAATTTTGTATTTAGAAACCAAAAAACAAAACAAAACAAAACACTGAAAATACATATCAAAAGGTACATCAATTAAAATGAACCACTATTTTTGTCAAACTAGAATATGTTAAAACAGAGAAATATCAATGATACTAAATCTAGGGTTAAAAAAAAATAGATACGCATTTCATATCATTTCAGAAATATAGTAAAAACAATAAGTAATAAAAAAAAATCTAAAGACATAAACTAGAAATGCTCCTTTTATGCTGCACAGTAAAAACATAGCCTTTCTATGGTGTGATTTTTGTCTGAGAATTAATAAGTAGGGGTTTGAAAGCAATCAAACTTACCATACCTTAGTTATCATGGTAACATGCAATTTACTATGACAACAACATGAAAAAATAATAATACAATTTCAACTAAATTACAAATTGTTTATAGGAATTATAATTGTATTTAGCAAAAATTTCCTGATTAATTAATGAAGTAATAATTATGCAAATGAGCAATCAGCATATTCATACATGTACCAAAAACAATTGTCTCATGGAAGTCAGTACCAATGGGTATCACTGTACGTGCAGTATTAAAATTAAATGTATTAACAAAAGTCATTAACCACTGGAGATCAGATGGAGGACTTAAGAAACCATAAATTTTTCCAAATTAAATTGGGAAAAAAAAAGAAAATTATATTCTAAAATTTATGTCTGAGAGTCATTTCCAGCCATCTGGAGGTGCCATAATCATAAATTTTCTTACCTCAGCCCCAACCGTGATGGGGTTGAGGGGATAGGCCTATCCTACATCCTTACCCCCTATTTTGAATTCCTGGATCAGCCACTGTAGATCTGGCTCCCAGAAATGACTTCTTCCAACTTGGGACCCCTGTATGCAAATTAGGTGTGAAATATATCTTGGCAGCAACAGAGAGTTGCTTTCTTTTTAAGATTTTTATACTAACTCACTGTTTATATTTTCTCTAAATGGAACATTTTCCCCACAAATACCCAACATGCTAAAACTGACCTCTGATCCAATATTTGCATACTGTATATCTCTGATACTAATGTCTGTAGAAACCTAATATATTGTTTTATTCATGTATTTTTTTTAAATTTTATTAAGGGGATTAATATCTTAAACAATATCTTTGTCACATGTCCCTTATATATGTATATAACATTTACATCCTAGGCCTAATTATGCCAATTAGGGATGAAAATATAGGGTTCTTATATCTTGAAAACTGCTGCTGTTTCTATTTGATTCAGTATATGTATACACCGGTATATATATATATAATTCAGGTTTTGATTCTAGGAATTACACCTTGGCTACTTGCATTCTTTATATGCAGTTTACATAAATATACAAATTAGAAGCAGAAGTAGTCTTTTTGAAATATATTTATTATCCTCAAAATAATTATCAAATAATTCTTTTTTTTTAAATATTATTTGATGTTCCCAGTAACTAGACTTTTGTGCAAAAGTCACTAATGCCCTTGTTTATTACCACCACCTTCACACTCCATGACTACTGGTCAAGATATTTGACATTGGTCTCAAATTATTTAGAAAGTATGCCTATATTTTATATAATATATTTCTAGAGAAGTTATCAAAAAAATGATCAGAACTCAAGCATATTATGACCCATGTTGCCCATAACTACTGATCATCGGGATCATCTTCTATAGTTAAGTTTTAAAATCTGTTAAATCTTAAAATCTGAGATAGATGATTTAAATTTAAATTTATGTAACATCCTTTGGTCTTATATGGAACAAAGATCACAATTGTAAAGGTATGGCTCAATATGAAACAATGCTTTATAAGTATATTCTAATGATAAGTATATTTTAAATTGAAAGTAACTGAAGTAATACATGATGTAATAAAAAAAGGCTTCCTTGTGAAGAACGCGCTGCAAACACCTGATGAAGCTCTGGCATCGACTGCCTGCGAAAACTTGTGATAATAAAATTGTATTGTCAAATTTGGTCCCAGAGTGCTACTTTATTATTAATAATTTCTTAATGTGTTATAAGAAGAAAGCAAAATATATAATTCAAGGTATCCCAATTTTAGCCCCACCTCAACATCTTACCTCATAAGTTTCAGAAAAATGTTATTACATTTATCATTATTGACTATAACATCACATGAAAATGTTACGAGGATGAAAACTAATAATATAATGTCAAAGCTCAATTATAGCATGTCTTTTTGTAGCAAATGTACATTAAAGCAAACTAAAATATTTATATTTCACACCTAAAATCTAAAAGAAAAACTTGTTAGGATATACACGCAAAAAAAATTTCTGTTTGTTGAACAATAAAATAATCTTGAATCTTGTGATGCACTGGGCCTACAGTAGCTCTGAAAAAACAAGTTCACCTCCTCTTTACCTAACATTAAAGTCCTATGTGGAGAAATCTAATTCAGGACTACTAATACTTATATCTTCTACCCTCACAATTAAAGTGGAGATAATCCTAAAGAATGATAAATAGACCGAGTCATGTTAAATAGAAGAATTAATAAGAATGATATTGTTGTATTTGTTTCTTTAATAACGTATTGTTATTTATAGTGTAAAACAATAGACCGAATTAGTCATCACAATTTCGCCGAGTGGGTATGAATTTGTAAACATTGGCTAAAGAGCTGTGCTAATGCACTGAGCGGAGTTGAAAGTGGCATATATTAAATTGCCTAAAATCAGGGCTCGAAATTCACGCTAGCAAACTAGCAATTTGCTAGTAGGTTTGTCATAATTGCTAGGTAAAAATTCACAAACCAGCAAATTAAAAAAAATGATTGCTAGTTGAAATATCTATACAAAATACAAAATATCTTGTAATTAGCCTAGTATTAAACTAAAACTAGACTAAACTGATCTACAAAAACTAATACAAATTTTATTAAATTTATTTATTTATTTTTTAATTATGAAAATCGACTAAAAATGCCTATAATCGACAAAAAACGATCGTTTTTTTTTTTTTCCTCCTGAGCATAAGATGTGAAGTGCACCACCAACATTATTTTTTTTAAACCTTACATTGCTTGCATGCATGCAACAAGCTAAGTAAGCAGTGTGCAGAAAAAAAAAATCGCTCACATGTGTTTGTTGACGGAAGTCACGGGCGATGCAATCGGTAGTTAAGGCGAACATATTTAATTTGGTTCTTTTTAGATAATAAACAATGTTTCAGATATGATACCTGTATTAATAATTTACTATGAAGCTTAGACAAATAATAGGTTACAACCTAGGCTTCAATTGGCAGATGTTTTAGGCCTAGCCTACTAGACCCTAGCCTAGCTAATCTGGCTAGGCCTAATACTGTAGTAGTAGACCTCCTAACCTAGGCCTAGGCCTACTACTGCACCAGCGGCCGCCTACAAAACGTCTAGCCCCAGCTTTAAAAGACCAAAGCCTATCAAAATAAATATTGTACAAACAAATCTTTTATGTAAAATTGAGTTTCTGTTATGGCCTTTTTCTGTCAAAGATTTGGCTTGCTACCAA